TTTTTTCTCTTAAGAATCACCTAAGGTACTAAATGAATGTACTCCTTTGCGTGTAAGTCTTTGTTTTGATTACCCGATGTATGACTGACACAATTTGCCACCATAGAATTGTATAGCTGCTGCGTAATAGTGTCATTGGTGGTAAGGATGCCGGGCATTGGTACTTAAATACACAGCAGTTATCTACAGTCAAACTTTGTTGTAACGAAGTTGAAAGGAGAGTTGTAATAACTTTGTTATAACCATTAGTTTGTTATAGCCAATATCCATTTCTACCGACAACTAGCCAGCAAGAGAGAATGTACTCACTACCGAATCACAGCAGCCCACCACACAGAGAAAAACGGCCGTCGGAAGGCAAAAAACTATCAAATAATAAAAAACAATGTGCTTTATTTTCACCAAATTCGGCACACCAGCTGGCAGATCACTTCTAAGAAAAATAGACCTTAATAGACTTTTACCGACACTTCTTCATGCAGATGGCTGCTTTTTCAGCTTCAGCAACTATTTCGAGTCAGTCTTCATCGCCATCGTAAGCACCAAAGAAATGGCGCAGCATGCCTGTCACATTCAGCGCTTGCGCGGGCGTTGGTACGTTGGAACTCAACATTAGGCTCCGAGGTGTCGACACGTTCGTCACTGTTGTCATGAACCCCTGTCACCGTGGGCACAATTTCTGCATCTGACAACTTTTTTGTTGTCACTGAGTCGGCATCAGCACCGATTGACGTGCAGAAAGTGTCGCAGTTAGGCACAATATCCGTGTCAAGGAGAGCGTCCCACGACATCTGGGCCTGGGCACCCGCGGCACCCTCACTGGTGATATCGCCGAAATCTTCTACTACTTTTTTTTTCTCGGTGCCGGACTCAATGGGTTTCGACATTGCCGACTTCTACTCAATTGCTATATTTTTGCGCCTACGTTTGCCGCTGCTGTTGTCTATCTTGTGTCTGGTGGCGCAAACTAATATAGGTGGTGTTGCTCTTCCACAGCAGACGGCAAGGAACAAAGCCACCATCTCCGCCGTCCCAGTGTGGAACTGAAGGGGAGAAGGAAGTGGCGGTAGTTCTTAGAAAAGGAAGAAGGCGCCTAATTTCTGCAGCTTGGTAGGGACCAGGAGAAGGAGATCAGATGTGCGGGCGGGTCAACGAGTTCTACAGGAGAGGGGAGGTTGGCTGGCGTGCACACTCGCAGCGAGTTAATACGCGGGCGAGTCCATTAATTCTTGAGGAAAGGGGAGGTAGGGAGACTCACACCCATGCGCGTGTTTGCAGACTGCTCCCGGTGGCGAGTTTACAAAGGTACGAGTTTTGAATAACCGCAGCCGTGATGAGACGTAAACCGTCACGTGCTATAAGATATTGAATGGACGTATGTGAAAATGATCAGTAAGTGTTTGTTGTGGGCAAAGGATGGTTGGTTATATCCATTGTGAGGAAGTTTTTGCTTCGTTATAATGAGGTTTTAAATACATGGGCATCTATTGGGATTTCTAGGGGATATACAATTGCTTCGTTACATTCATTTGTTTGTTATATCCCGCTTTGTTACAACAAGGTTCTACTGTATCTCCTTCTCATACTTCGCTTATTTTCCGCTTTGTTCATAAATAAGCGCGACGACAGAAGGCTTACAGTGACAATGAGACTAAGGCGACAGGAAATTGCCCGCCGTAGTCAACTATTATAACTTGAAGAATAATGATCTTATCGAACTAGTGGATGCCTCACTGAACCTACTCTCACTTATCATCTACTCTAATTGATTGGTTGATATGCGGGGTTTAACGTCCCAAAACCACCATATGATTATGAGAGACGCCGTAGTGGAGGGCTCCGGGAATTTCGACCACCTGGGGTTGTTTAACGTGCACCCAAGTCTGAGCACACGGGCCTACAACATTTCCGCCTCCATCGGAAATGCAGCCGCAGCAGCCGGGATTCGAACCCGCGACCTGCGGGTTAGCAGCTGAGTACCTTAGCCACTAGACCACTGCGGCGGGGTTATCATCTATTCTAGCAAACGAATGAATATATCCAAGCTTAAGCAGAATGCACATGCCTACTGCAAATAGGAGCCACCGCTGTAGAGGCTTGCCCCGCCACCGGCTGATGCAAGAAAAGGAGGGTTGCGCTAGCAGACAACGTGGTTGTGCTCACCCTTAGAGGGCGCTCGCATAGAGACACCTATGGTGCAGTGGACTGTTGTGCCACCTGTAGGTGCTACACGTTTCCCATAACAGTATGCCTTTCTCTCATTTATTCGATGCAGCGCCTTTCGAAATTTCCTAGGTCTGTTTTCACTCTTCGTTGGCATTTTCTCTGGAATGTATTTCCTTATTGAGGGTCAAGGTATGTGGGTATGTGTCACATGGGACAATGGAAAGTTATGACCTCATTGTCATTTTAATCATGCACTCGCGTGCTGCTGTGCTGATTTTGGTATTTTTATGCTGTTATAACTGAATCTATAAAAGCCAATTTTTATGAAGTTCTTTATAAAATGAAACAATTTTTATTCCTGGCAAATGAATAGAGAGTTCTGTGTTGTCATCAACCTTAATGAGTGAACTCATTTGACAATCAAACCCGACCTAATGATGTTTTTCCTGAAGTAGCTTGGTGAAATGGCAATCTTCTGATTTGGACCAAGGTGGGCTTTTCTGCAAGCGTACACTCTAACGCTCTCGTGTAAAACATTTAGGTGCCATAGTCATTGCACCAGCTTTGCTTTGATGAGGCTGCAGGCTGGGCAAGTATCTATGGGCTTCACAGCCAGTAGCGATTCTTGCACACTGAATGGTGCTAGAGGTGGCAATGGTTACTTTGGTTATTTCATGGTTTGTACAACAGGTAGCACTGATCATGGCCTCCCATCTTTTTTTTTTGTAGGCCTGCTCACATAGTCGCTGCATTCTTTCTCTGCATTATTGCATATTGGTGGGTGGCTCTAACTCCATGCGACCTGGTCTGTATCCCATGGCCGTAGCGTCCCTTATGACTGTGCAATCCTTGTTGATTTTTCAGATGTGCAGGCATGTATTGCTCACAGAAACAATGTGTGGTGTCTCGAATTGGCAAGCCAGCGTCACGCTCTTGGAGTGAAAGGACATAGTAGACACGGTTGCTACAAACAAAGAAACACATACATTTATTCAACTACTTTTGGACTACGATATCGTCCGCCGAATCGATGCATCAATTGTAATTAACACGCTAGGACATCTTACACAATAACACGACAAACACACAACATGACAAACACACTAACACACACAAGGCGGCGTCGCCAACGCTTGGCTTACCTTGAGGGCCCCCGGCGCGCAGGCCCGCGGTGCCACGCGCCGAGGACCCACGCTAGAGACAACAGTTCGCGGCAACCGCCACGCGCGAAAGAGACTCGCTTAACTCTCACCCGCCACCAAGGCTTGCTTTCGCCGGGAGTCACCGCCAGCGCTACCACATGATGATGACTATAGTGGTCCTCAACGCGAACACCACATCCATTGCCTGGTGGTTGTAGCCTGAAATGGGCTTTTGGGCGAGACACATGCGCCATGTGGCGCAAACAACTTTACAGGGGGTTTCAGCACCCCCACAAATGTCATGAGAGCTTCTTGGCATCTCTGCATTGAAATTCTAGATTTTTAAAGACCGAAAAATTTCTTTGATCATAAGAGATTCATGATTCATTGAATAATTTGAATGTCCCCATCACTTCCTTAGATGGAGTTCTAACAGTAGCGAGTCAAGTAGACAACCACAAGAGCATCCAGATGTAGGCAGCTAGATAGATGAATGGGATAGGACAGACCGTGCTTTTACGCAAACCCCAGCCTAGTTGACTGGATCTCTAGTTTTCTCTAAAATAGGTTGTAATGTGTCTGCATCAATTCTGGTGAATCACTTACTGTCCCTGTTACTTCTGATTTCTCACGGTATTCTGTTATAAGCTCACTTCTTTCTTTCTGTACCTAAGTGACCTGCCTGACATCATCATCAGCCTGACTGTGGCCACTATCAGGCAAAGGCCTTTCCCATGTTCTGCCAATGAACCTGGTTCTGTGCTGGCTGCTGCCACGTTATAACCACAAACTTCTTAATCTCATCTGCCCACCTAACTTTCCTTGCCCCGCCGCGGTGGTCTAGTGGATGAGGTACTCGGCTGCTGACCTGCAGGTTGTGGGATAGATTCCTGGCTGCGGGGGCTGCATTTTTGATGGAGGCGAAAATGCTGTAGGCTTGCGTGCTCAGATTGGGTTGCGCGTTGAAGAACTCTAGGTGGTCGAAATTTCCGGAGCCCTCCACTACGGCGTCTCTTATAATCATATGGTGGTTTTGGGATGTTAAACCCCACATATCAATCAATCACCTAACTTTCCGTCTCCGACTCGTGTGTTTTCCCTCTTTTAGAATACGGTCAGTTACCCTTATTGTCCAGCAGTTACCTTGCTTTTGTTCTACATGTCCTGTCCATATCTTCTTGATTTCAATTGAGATGTCCCTAAAGGGATACTGATACTGAACCAAAATATGAAAGCTTTGTGTAAATACTGAAAATGTATTCTCAGAGTGCAAAAACATAGAAAAGAAGTCGTCATTTAGAGAACATTCAAGTGGGTGGTCTTATTTTTGTTGTTTTTGTGAGCGTGCGCTAGAAGCTTGAACTGTTGCAGCCAGTATGAGGCCTTCCACAATTTTCTGTGGAGCTAGTTCGAAAGCACTTCTGCAGGCAAAACGAGCACTCTTCTACCTGCACAAGAAACGAGCATCATTCTTCAAGGGAATCCATACATTATGCAGTGTGTTGCTCTTTTCGTCATGTGATGCTTGTGCCTTGCATTCTGTGTGCTTGCAAATCATTGATGACCACTCGAGGCTCAAGTCGTCATAGATAATTTGTAAGCCCACAGAATTGATGGTGTTGTCAAGACGAGTTTCTATGGTGGTAACATTTAAAATGCAGTGCGTGTGACAGTGCTCTTTTGATAATGCAGGGCAAGTGCCTCAAGACTCTCAAGGGCCACAGCAACTATGTCTTCTGTTGCAACTTCAACCCACAATCTAACCTCATAGTTTCCGGCTCGGTTAGTACTGTTTTTTCAGTGCCAAGTGAAGCAGCAAAGAAGTGTGCTGCTCATGTACCCCAATATGATTCCTGCATTTTTTGCTTAATATTAAGGGATCCTTTAAAGGGGTACAGACACAAGAGTTTTTTGTTGTCTTGTTTCTTGTCAAATGAAAGGCCAAGCCCTCAACAGCCTAGGAAATGTTCTGATTGAGCATGAGTGTACCCTGGGAAAGTAATTACAGTATGTTTTTAAAATCCAGTTTTGGTTCTTACCATACCCTGGTGTTGCAACACGGTATGAGCCTCTTGTCATGTGCTCACACGTGATATCGTGGGGTTTCCATGGTTGCTGTAATCTGTGGCTCCATTGGTCACATACAGGCTGCTGCTTTGAGTATTTCCGATGACACACAAGTGCCAACTTTGAATGTTTTAGTACCTGATGTCATCACAACTTGCCATGCAGGTGCCGCAATTCACGAAAAATTGACTCTAAAGCACAGCCTTTGAGATTGGCACTTTCGAGATCAGATTGGTGTTGGCTATTGAGGGAGCCAGAAATACATCATGACTGTGGAGTTTTTTGGGTTTGTTTTGTTTTTTTTTAGCAAATATCATAGACTTTGTTTTTCTAGTGCTTCGAGGGCCAGAATGATGCAATCAGATAATCTGTCATGTTTTAGATGTCACTTACTTTTGTGCTGTCATGAGCATCTCATGGCAGAACGAAGGCTTATGTAGTACGGCATTTACCTGAATTATCTCACTGAAAAATATAGGCACCAAAACTTTTCATCTTGCAGTGTAGTGATTGCACCTAGGTACTCTTGTAGCGACGCAATAACGATGCCGCATTTTCATTGTTTGGTGAAGTCACTATAATACAGAAAAGTGCGGTAGTGGGTTAGTTTGCACTCTTTTGCCATGAATGCTGCGTCCTAGTTACACGTTAGTTGAGCCTAGCCCTCTTCTGCATTGTTTCCCTTATGGGGACATTAGGGGCTCTAGCTGCCTCAAAAAATTCGGCAGGAACTGGTTTGAAAATCAGTGAGTACTTGTTATTAATAAAGACCTGGTGTGAACAAGAATTGCCAGTTAGCATGTGCCAATAAGTTAATCTACATGTTTTACAAGCACAGCAAGCACTTGGAGGAGGAAGGTGTGAGGATTTGTAGAGGCCCATCGTCGGCACTCTCACCTACACAAGTTAACATTTGTGTCACCACAGTTGAAGAGACACTAAAGTAAAATATTATAAGTCTATGTTGATTGCTGAAATATTCCAGAAACCTCGTAGAGCTACTTTTGTGCCAAGAAAGTGCTTATTTTGAATTAATATCACATTTAATGGTCTGCATCGCTTTAGCAGACTTGAAATTACCCGCCTCAAGTAGAACCTTTCACATGAGTGTTGCGGTGCACAGCCGCCGATTAGTAGCAGCAGAATGAAAGTGCCGGGAGCCATAGTAGCAACAACGGCCATCGAACAATTTCCTGCCATGGCCTCCGATATAGCAGGTCTGCTTGGTTCAGCTGGGCCCTGCAAGATGGCACGACCTGTCCAGTCTAACCAGGCGAGCTTTGAACTTTGGAACCATTCATGCCATTCCCCACGTCCGGTGGTTCTTTTTCATGAATTAAATAGAAATGAACAAGCAGCATTTTATTACGTCTCTCAATGCACGGAAGGTTTTTTATTTACTGCAGCTAGTTTGATTACTAATTAATAATTGTAGGTGGTACTTCTGATGTAATCGGGAACATTTTGTGAATGTCCTATCGTTGCGCATGTGTTCTCATGCATTTATAATTTTTCATTGAGTAGGGCACTGCTACCTCTGTCTACAGCACTGGACGTCGAGCCGGACCTTTCACTGGAAACATGAGCTCATCGTCTACTCTTCTTCTTTCTCACAATGGCACATACAGGCAGTGGCATTGCGCAATCTCATTTAGTGCCCGTGGAATTTCGCCACTTCCAAAAAAAGTACCGTCTCGATGCTCAATGCTGAATAAAACTGAAAGTAATTGCGCACACGCACAAACACGCATGATGAAGCAGTGTGAGGTGGTTCACAGGTAGTGTGGCTTCATCCTCGGTACATGAACAATGTCCGCCTGCAAGGAACGTCGAGATCGCTGAGCTGTGTCTTCAAGCAGGACTTCGTAGTTGACATCATTGAAGCGCCGTAGTACTCTATAAGGACCGAAGTAGCAGTGAAGTAGCTTTTACAAGCGGCCCCTTTGGCAAACAGGAGTCCACAGCCACACTAGATCATCGGGTTGGTAAATAACATGGCAATGATGAGAATTGTACCTCAGCGAGTTGATGCATTGTGGCTTTCGGATCCGCTCGAAGGCAAGCTTGCGGGCCACGTCGGTGAGCTGGGTAATGTCATTTGCATCAGTAGTAATGCCGGTCATGTCAGGTAAGAGCATGGCACAGAGCAATTGTTGCTTCTCGGTTGTGAAGCAAATGGAAAGGAGGGAACACTGTAGTCTCCTGAACTGCAGTGTTGTAAGCGAACGTTGCGTATTGCAGAATGTCATCCCAGTTATTGTGATTGCAGTTGATGTACATGGATAACATGTCAGCGGGCGTCTTGTTTAATCTCTCCGTCATACCATTGGTTTGTGGATGGTATGCAGTCCTTTTGCGATGAGCCGTTCCACTGAGCGTCATGACGTCTTGCATCAGTTGGGTTTTTAAGTCTGTTCCACGTTCAGTGATAACTATTGTTGGCGCTCCATGGCGGAGGACAATGTTTTTAATGACAAAATCAGTAATCTCATTGACAGTGCCTTGTTGGAAGGCTTTTGTTTCGCAGTACCTCGTCAAATAGGCAGTAGCAACTACTATCTAGCGGTTGCCCTCGTGTGACTTCGAAAGGGCCCAAGCAAGTCCATGCTGATTTGTTCGAACGGTTGTGATGATGGTGTAGCAGGCTTTAATAAACCAGCAAAGCACACAGGTGGGGCCTTACGGCGCTGGCAATGGTTACACGTTTTAACATAATGCTTGACATCCTGGGTGAGCTTTGGCCAGTGGTAGCGAGGACGAATCCGGGCAAGGTATGATCCGATTCCAAGTGGCCGGAGGAAGGCTCGTCGTGGCAGGTAGATAAAATATCAGCACGTAGTGCTGATGGAATGACGAGCAGGTGTGCGGTCGCATAAGGTTTGAAGTTCTTTTTGTAGAGGATGTTGGTGAGGAGACAAAATGACCCTGAATGTGCGAATGCTCGTGGCGGACTCAGAACTGTGGCCTTCAAGGTATTTGATAAGCTATCCAAGCTCTGAGTCGTTCCACTGTTGTTGGGCCAAGTCGGATTCGCTGACCGCGCAAAGGAAACGACCATCAGTATCATCATGACTCAACGTCATTGCAAGTGGAGCGCACGAAAGGCGATCGGCATCAGTATAGCCATGGCCAGACTTGGTACTACAAATTCTTGAATCCGCAAGCTGCATCTCGCAAGGCGCCTTGAAGGGTCCTTGAGATTGGCTAGCCAACAGAGGGAATGATGGTTTGTTATGACTCTGAACGGACGGCCATACAGATACGGTTGGAACTTTGATATCGCCCAAATAACAGCAAGGCATTCCTTCTCCGTGGTTGAGTAGTTAGTTTCCACAGATGACAGAATGTGACTAGCATAAGCAATGGGATGCTCGGCACCGGCTTGCCACTGGACGAGCACTGCACTAAGACTGATGTTGCTTGCGTCAGTGTGCATTTCGGTGGCAGCATCTTCATCAAAGTGGCCTAGTAAGGGGGCTCTGTCTGAAGGCGCTGTTGAAGCCTGAAAAAAGCGGCTCTTTGCTCTGAACTCCATAGAAAAAGAGTATCCTCCTTCGTTAAACGGGTAAGGGGCTCGGCGATGTTGGCAAACTTCTGCACAAAGCTCCTGTAGTATGTGTAGAGACCCGAAAATTGGCAATTTATATCAGAGTGAAAGCTCAATGTATGACAACACCTAAAACGACAATATTATAAACAACAGTGCCCTACTTACCGAGAAATCAAGGTAAATTCACAAGAACACAAGCGCCGCAGTAGGACATTTTCAATATGATCCTGATGACATCAGATGGATTGCCTACAATTAATCACTAGTAATCAATCTAACTGCATTAAATAAAGAACTTTACGTGCATCAAGAGACGCCATAAAATGCTGCTTGTTTGTTGCTGTTTGATTCATAGAAAAAAGAACCGCCGGCCGTTACTTTGGGGAATGGCGCGAGTGGTTCGAAAATTCAATTTTCATGTGGTTACACAGGACAGGTGGTGCCATCTAGTGGGGCGCAGTTGAAACAAAAGCGTCTGCAATCTCGGAGCCAATGCAGAGAAATTGATCAATGGCCGTTTTCGCTGCTGTGGCTCCCGCTGCTTTTGGTCTGCTGCTACTAGCGCAGTAAAGCCGGGCAACGTTATGCATGGCAACAGTGACAAGAGACGGACCGGTTGGTCCGCTTCTTGAGGCGGGTAATTTGAAGTGCGCTGACCCGATGTGGGCCACCAAAGCGAGATTTTATATCAAAATAGGCCCTTCCTTGGCACAAAAGTAACACACTGGACTGCCATTTCAGCAATAAATGTTGACTTGATAGTTGACTTTAGTGTCCCTTTGAACAGCAGGGTGTCCATCATCCTTTGGAACGTTGCCGGTGCAGAGCACAATCCTAACGGTAGCATTTTAAATTTATAGAGGCCATTGGGAGTTATGAAGGCGGTTTTTTGCCCGGTTGCATTCATCGACCTGGATCTGCCAATAGCCGCTTCGCAAATCCATTGATCAAAAACATCGGGCCTCTCGAAATATTGGGCTTTCTCACAACGGCATATACATACACCGGCATGGCCCAATCTCGTTCCATGCCCATGGCAACATTGTCGTTTTAGACGTTGTCATACATAGAGCTATCACTTTGGCCTAAATTGTTATTTGACTTTAGTGTCCCTTTAATACCTTAATAGTTTTGCATGAGTTAACTCATTGTGTGACAGTGGGAC